CGAGCGGCGTTGACAGAGGTAAGTATTTACCTATTTGGTACATTTTTCATAGTTTTTGCATATATCTACTGCTTGCCAGCAGTAGATGTATGAAAAAAAAAAAAAATAAGGCTTTAAAAATGGTGAAATTAGCATTCAAGGCCTTTCCTACTCTATTAAAAAAAAAGTTTTGTATACATACACTTTAATGGCCACTGAAGCCCTGGCAGTTGCCCTTAGTCCCTTGTAACAAAATTAAACTATATCAGAGTGATGCACAGAGTAGAGTTTTCTGACTAATAACAAAATGATACTATGTAGTGTCTGCTCTTAGCAAAGGTTTCTACTTTTAAAAGTTGTCAGGTTCACTTTAAAGACTATTATATGTTATCTCAGTAACTGTATGGCATGTGCATACTCAAAATTTGTTTGAAATATTTATATTAGGCATATATTCAGGTTATCCCTGAAATGAAGTTCAAAAGTAAAACCCATCCCTAGCATGTTGAAGAAGTTGGCCAGCATCACTTTAATTTGGTAGAAGTACGATTTATCAAATGTCTGCACTGACTTTTCTTTGACCTTACGTTATAGAAAAGTGTATTTCAATGTATTTGGAAAATAAATGTAACTGCTGGCAGCAATGGCATTTTTAAATCGATGTTTTCTTATAAACCTGGAGATGTTATAATGTTTCTCTGAAACGCTACCTGTATAAAGAAGATGTGTTTCTAATTAGCCAGATACTCTACCAGTGTTACAGTTGCACTCATAAATAATAAAAAAAATTTAATAAACCTCACTGTTCTTCCCTGCAGTCAAGCAAGTTTGGTGAACAACGAGCCCCAGCCTGTGATTGGATGAATAAGAAGCAGCAGCACATTACAAGGGTTATTCACAAAGCTAGCTGAAGGATCAGACGTTGCTCCGGCTGATCCTTCTGCTAGCTTCAGCCGCTGGAGCCCTTCGGTTTAGTAGAGATTCACTATAGCCCGTACAGCTCCCGAAGCTGGATGAGCGGCTGGCCATTGGTCGGCTGAAAGCCTTGCAACTGACAGCTGGGTGGAGCCAGCTGTGATCCCACGGCTGGCTCCGCCAAGTTGTTTTCATTGGCCAGGACCTGCTAGAAGGCTCTAGCAGGTCCCGGCCAATAGGAAACAGTTGGGTGGAGCTAGCTGTCACTGCTAGCTCCACCCAATTGTTTCCTTTTTTTATTCTTTTTGTAATGATCTTTATTTTTCTTTTTTTAATTATTTTTTAATACTTTTTTTTTTTATGTAATCTTTATTTATTTAAGATTTATCATTTATTGAACTTTTTAAACATTCTTTGCTACTTTTTTCACTGTTTTACTATTCTGCTCGTTACCACGGAGGTACCGAGCAGAATAGTCAACCCGAATGCCGCAAGCATATGTATTGTAATTTAAGAAAATACTAATGTAATTAAAAGTAACATGCACTACGACAAGGGGTGGGCAAACTCCAGCCCTCTAGCTGTGGTAAAACTACAAATCCCATAATGCATCTGGCTCTGGGAGTCATGCCTTGTAGTTCCACCACAGCTGGAGAGGCGGAGTTTGCCTACCCCTGAAGATCCTGTAAAATTTAGGAATGATGGCTGCACAGATCAGCACCAATGCACGGCAAACCTCAGACCAGAACCAATGCATGGCAGACCAAAGTCCAGAACCAATGCACAGCAGGCCTCAGTCCCAACACCAATGCACAGCAGACTTCAGACCAGAACCAATGAACGGCAGACCTCAGTTCAGAACCAATGCATGGCAGACCTCAGTTCAGAACCAATGCATGGCAGACCTCAGACCAGCACCAATGCACAGCAGACCTCAGACCAGCACCAATGCACAGCAGACCTCAGACCAGCACCAATGCACAGCAGACCTCAGACCAGCACCAATGCTCAGCAGACCTCAGTCCAGCACCAATGCTCAGCAGACCTCAGACCAGCACCAATGCATGGCAGACCTCAGTCTAGAACCAATGCATGGCAGACCTCAGACCAGCACCAATGCTCAGCAGACCTCAGACCAGCACTAATGCTCAGCAGACCTCAGACCAGCACCAATGCTCAGCAGACCTTAGACCAGCACCAATGCTCAGCAGACCTCAGTCTAGAACCAATGCATGGCAGACCTCAGACCAGAACCAATGCACAGCAGACTTAAGATCAGAACAGGCATCGGTGACCCATACACCTGATGAAGGCAACCTGCAAGGCCCTGAAATGTTGCTTTTCTCCATGTGATTAAAAATCTCTGACTTGTGCAGTAAATAAAAGCACAATTCAAGCTTGTAATAATCATAATGACACATGCCTCATCTGCAGGGTGGAGAGTTGATCCAGCAGCGTGCAGTGGAGTGGGTCCTCAGTGAGCACCTCCCCCAGCAGCGCCTCCCCCAGCAGGATGTCATGGGTAGTGGCTCCAACTACAGCAGTTCTGCCAGTGGAGGGCCCATCCTGTCTGCGCTGCCGCAGGCACTTGGGTATGCTTAGACCGTGTCAGTCTGCCCCTGCTTCTTTTGTTTACATTCTGCACCAGGCTCCC